GTTCAGCAGCCTGGGAAGAGGGGCAAACACGCGCAGGTGGAGGGAAACAGGGAAGAGAGGAGGGCACTCCCCGACAGACGTGAAACCAATCACAGCGCAGCACACTGTGCAAAAAAAGGCAGCTGTGTTCGCTTTCACCCTTTCCTGCTGGATTTCACTCATTTTCTCGTGAGAGACGGCAGGAGGCCCAGTGAGGCAGATGGGAAGCTGAGCAGCCTCGGTAGAGCCGACCCCAGCGGGAGCGCAGGCAGCTCACCTGGAACCAGGCGGCATAGGACGGGAAGGCAGCTGGGCCCTCCAGCGCAGCCTGCCGTGCAACCAGGAACGCCAAGACCATGCTGTCCAGGTCACAGCTCTCGAACGCATGAGCCAGCAAACGTGACACCCAACCTAGGTGAGAACAGTGGCATGGCTGTGGACGGGGACTGGGGCGGGGGTGCAGGGGCAGGCAGGACAGTCCGCTCACCCAACACCGACCCCCAGGCCCTGGGTGGCGGCCCACACGCAGCCTAGCAGCGGGTACACGGGCAGGCCGACAGCAGAGGGTGGTCCAGAGAGCACCGGCCGGGTAGGCAGGAAGGGCTTCCATCCTCACTGAGCCAGACACAGCGATTCTGCCCGCAGGCTCGCCCCAACGCCGGTCCACGGATCACACGCACACGCACGCACGGAACACAACGGGGCTCCCATCCCCACGCACCATTAACGAGCTGCTGTGCGTCTGGCAAGCAGATCACCAGTGTGGACACGCAGGACAGCACGTGCTGCCAGTTCACCTCCTGTGTCTCCAGAACCTCTTGCAAGTGGCCCACCAGCTCCTCTGGGCTCAGGATCACGAAGAGCTGAAACCAAAGTGTCAAAGCTGGACCCCCACTCCCTCCCACTGCGCATCGGACCCAGCCTAGACTCGAGACGCCTGCCCTCCTGACCCCCACGGCCAGCAGTGCCTGCAGGGAGTTCTCATCTGAGGACAAGGTGCTTTGCCCAAGTGAAAAGTTCAGTCTCTGGACCCGGAGGGCAGTCCAGCCACGGACGGCCGTGGCTATGGCATCTCCTGGGACCCACAGAGCCCGTGCAGCAGGTCTTGGACCCCACCCTGTGCACTTACCCTACGGTACAGGCCACTGAGCAGAGGCGGGGTCCTTGCAAAGCTCCACTCTCTCTGCATCTGAACAGCGTCGGAAACTTCATTCAGGAGGAAATACACATAATGTCACATCAGTAATCATCAAAAAGTTCAGTATCAATAAAGTACCTTGTTTTAATTTGCACTTTTCCAAATGTATGTGAACTTCACCATTTCCCCATTTTCCAGCCATTTTTTTATTTTTTTATGTCATGAACATGTCTGTCTTTGGTAATCCTTGATCATATCTGCTATAAATATCCTCCAACCCATCAATTACACTTTAATTTTGCTGCTTTTAAACTTTCACTAAGAATAAGCAGTCAGTGAGGACATGTTGAAAGGACACAGTTGAAAAGCATGCATCAGCCAGGCCAGGCCCTCCGGGAGGGCAGCAGCCTCTGCCGGGGGGTTCCGTGTGCCCCTGGACGCAGCACCACAGAGAAGGCGCCATCAGGAGCCTCGCAGACTGCCCAGCTCTCACGGGACAGTGCGTCAGGCAGAAGATGGCTCGGGTGTTGGACACCCTTCAGAAAGCCATGCACCCACACAGAAAATGCTGACGTGAGCTGCAAAAACAGAACCTTGGAATTCACAGCACGAGCACTGTTTTAAAAACCTCTCTAGAAAGACAGGAAGGGCTTCAGATTAAAGATATTCTACTTTGGCAACAATGGGTGACACTTCTTTAATTCTAAATTTTCTTTACGGGAAAGTGTTGCTTTCAAATGAGAAGACGTTTAATGACAAACGGACTGTCCTCCCAGCATTAACATCCGTGGCCCGAGCTTCTGTCAAGGGAGGCACCCAGGGCACCAGGACCCACCTTTCAGCACAGGCTTGTGGGTGAGGATCTGGGTCAGAGTGTGACAGAAGAACCTCTTTGTAGACTCGGTTGAAATTATACTTCCATACATGTGTCCACTGAACACACCAAACCTGCAGATGCAGCAGAGGATCTCAGGGGAGGAGACCCCTGCAGGTTTCCGCCACTCAACAGTGTCGGCACCTGACAGCGGCACCTCACGCACGAGGAGCAGCTCACTGGCAAAGCAGCCAGGGACCTGCAGGTCCCCGACTCCAGACCCCCAGCTCAGGCTCACAGGCTCACAGGCTGGCCCTGCCCACGCTTCCCCAGCCAGGCCTGCAGCCAGGCTGCCGTGCCGCAGACAGAAATGGAATCCAGGGGAGCATCGCTTCAACAGGACAGAATCAAAGGCAATGGAGTCACTGTCACACGTAGAAGCTAGAAGGTCAGAGTGAGGTCACAGGAGGCTGGGCCTCGCAGGAGGTGACGACAGCCAGCGGCTGGACCCAGGCCCAGCACAGTCGCAAAGCCTTGGTTTCCCCATCTGTGAACTGGGAACCAGAGGTGGCAGGGCCATGGCTCCCAATGAGCCCCCGCCTGCCGCGGCACAGGGAGGCTCAGCCGCACTCGGAGCCACGGGCGTCCTTCTCCCGACAGGAGGAGCGAGGAAAGGACAGGGAGCCGGGTGTCAGCTCAGGAGCGACAAAGGGAGCCGGGCCGACAGCACGGTGTCACCAGCAGCCCCACCCGACCCCTCAGGGGAGAGAATCCAGGGCCCTAGCAGCCACGTGAACTGCCCATGCCACACATGCAGTGCGGAGGCTCCAGGCAGGATGGCCACCCAGACTGGGAGGGGGCGTCTGACTTTAAGTGCTGGCAACTAATTAAAAATCGTGAAAAGTCGTGATCTGACTCTCAGGACAAGTCTGAGCACGGACTCAGCACATCGTGAAAATGCATAAAACATAGAACAGAGCAGTGTTTTATATACTGATGAGTAAAGTACTCACCCAGCAGGTTTGAGGACGATTAAAGTAATCGTGGAGAAGAGGTAATCAGGAGCAAAATAATTGAAAAATGGAAAGAGTAACAAAGCCTGGAAATGCTGGGAAATCTCCTGGGTTCCCAGGACAGAGCCAAGGTCCAGGTGGCCTCACCCCATGTTACTCTGGAGCAAACCCGACACCCCAACGTTCGGCCCCCAAGTACCTGGATGCGCCTCCACAGAACCAAGGAGAGCAAGCGGAGGGTCCTGCGGGGGCAGGCATGACGGGCAAGGTCTCCCTGGCTGGGACCCCGAGGACCCCCCTCCCCTCAGACCCGGAGGTGGCATGGTTCCCACAGGAAGGGCCTCATCTTCAGAGAACTTCTAGTGCTTTCCAGCTCCTGATGTCACCACAATGGCAAAGGATCACTGGGCCATCGGGGGTGACCAGCATTCCTGGGACCACTCAGCCAGCAGGCCCACCCCCAGAACTTACCAGCAGCTCACTGCCTTGTGTGCTGCGGACCCCTCCTGTATCCCGGCCGCCAAAGCTTCGAGCGCGGCTGAGGTAGAAAAGAGACAACAGCACATTGTCACCGTCCATCATCAACAGCCCCGACCAATTGCTTCTGGGCAACTCAGGTAACGGACACCTTGCCATCACAGGCCTCCTAGGCCCCCGAACCCCCCGACGCACAAGCCCTGCAAGATCCCAAGTGTCTCAGTGGTACCAGACTTAAGCTTTGAAAATCAAGCACAATATGTAGGCAGGAAAATGCTTCCCTAATGAACCATTCAACTGGTCACCTCTGCTGCTCTGGAGGTCAAACGTGAAGCCGCCAACTGACAGCAGGAGAGAAACAAGTAAGTTGGTGAGTTTAGGCCCAATCACGACCGTGAAAGAGGCCTCCCCGGAGCAGCACTGAGCTGCAAAGGCGGCGAACCACAGGAAGCCCTAAGCAGCAAGGGAGGCCATTTACCACCCGGCCACAGAGCCACTCACAAGCCAGCATCCTCTCGAGAACGGCGACGGCCACCTGAGGGGACAGAATGCTGCAGTTACACAGGGGCACAAGCGAGCCAGCCGTCACCTCAAAGTAAAACAAGACTCGACTTTACAAAGAGCTCGTCTCCAGATTCCCCCTCAGGCACGGCCCAGGACCTGGGCCGTGGGGAGGGCTTTACCCTCAAGAGCCGTGGGGGAGAGACCACCGCCCAGGCCCGTGCCCGTGCCCTCACATCTGCACTCAGGGAGCGCCCTGTGGTGACAGCAAAGCGGACTTCCTCGTATAGAGCTGACAACTACAGCGTGGGCCCCTCGTGCTGCAGCTGCTGTCCCACAAGGCCCGGTGTCCTCCCACCTGGGACATCCACTCCGGGTCCACGGTTCCTCTCACATCCACGTTCTTCTGGAATCCCCTCAAAACGAGCATTTGCACAAAATCTGAAAGCCACAAAAACCAAAGCATTTACATACACTGTGGTCTCTGAACAGCCGTGAATCACACAGACCACCAGCTTCAGAGGGGCCGGCAGAGTGAGGACCTGCATGGAGCTGAGGGGACACCGGCTCCTGGCCCCAGGGAGCCCACCGACCACACCACCGAACCCAGCTGAGCAGAGCCTCTTCCCCGAGCCACACTCTATGCGAAAAGGAAACACAATCCATCAAGTTTATAGGAAGGATTTTCTCACTGAAAACAAAGAAGCATCTACTAAGGGTTTTACGTGGCCTTCCTCTCAGCCAATCTCCTACGCCAACCATACACGGACGGTTCTAGGGCTCGGAAGCATTATACTGTGGGGAATGAGGCAGGAAATGGACTCATACCTTCTGAAAAGGTTACGACCAATGGGACTGAAATTAAAAAGATTTTCTCAAATTTCAATTTAAACTTAATCTGGGGCCAGATTACAGGATTCAGGAATTGGAAATAATTCACATCACCAAGAAAGTTTTAGGAAAAAAGAATGCACCTTTTGCAAAAACAGTCCACAAGCCAACTAACTGTAGGGAACCCCTCTCATCGAGGTTTCCGTTTACTTGTGGACTGCATTCCTTCGGTATGTGTGATGGCGGGCCTGCTGACTCGGAGAGAAAGGGAAGGTGCCAGAAGAACAGGGTGTGGCGCTGCCCAGGCGTCCACAGCAGGGCAGCCCTGCTCACCCAGAGTCCCCACATTCAAATAAGGATTCCTGCCCAAGCTCCCACTTTGCTTCTCCCGGGCACCTTGTAAAACCACCGCCTAGAATTGAGCCCTGGAAAGCCAGTGGCCACCATACAAGCACTGGTGCCTTCTGCTGTGCTCTCTCCTGCTCGCTTGTGACCTGGACGGAGGACGGCCCATCCCCAGCTCCCTGGGATATGTAAATATCCAATCTGTGTAAATAACCAATCCTGCGTCCTTTGTCTAGGAACTGCGTCTTCAGTCAAATCAGCCCTGGACTCTCGCTTCCCCAAAGTGGGAGCTGGGATGCCGGGGGAGCCACCTGCCTCTGCTCGCAGGTCACAAGGTGCACATCCTTAACACACCAGCTCCGGCCCAACCCATTAGGTCAACAAGCTGACATTGCCACAACTCCAGTTCAATGCAAACCCACAACGACAGGCACGGACTGCAATGCCTTCCTGTTGGAGTGTGTGGGCCGCTCTCCTTCCCACAGATCGTCACAGCAGAAAGCATTCCCACTGGTCTAAAGCAACTGCACCCAAGAACCCACCTCTGCCGTGAACTTACCAGCAAGCATAGTCCTGGCGACGTCGGTGTGCTGACAGGGTGCCTCTGTCTGCTCACACAGCAGGCGCAGGTCCCTGGAGAGCCAGGCCACCACGGCCTGAGAGTCGGCATGGCTGGGGGCACAAGCACACAGTTCACCTGACCCCATTATTCCACTTTCTTTCACACTCACTCCACTGACAGCGAGCTAGTGACTACCTCAGCCTTCCCGTCCCAAGTCACAACGGGGCCAGCAGATGTACAAGGGGCATCAGGAATGGCTGCCACTGATGTTAAAAGTCATCCCTTTTGGGCTTCCCTGGTGGCACAGTGGTTGAGAGTCCGCCTGCCGATACGGGGGACGCGGGTTCGTGACCCGGTCCAGGAGGATCCCACATGCCGCGGAGCAGCTAGGCCCGTGAGCCATGGCCGCTGAGCCTCTGCATCCAGAGCCTGTGCTCTGCAATGGGAGACGCCATGGCGGTGAGAGGCCCGCGTACCGCCCAAAAAAAAAAAAAAAAAAAAAAAAAAAAAATCACTTTTTTCAAATAGTTTATTTATTTGGAGTAGCTTACTATTCTTGGGGGAAAAAAGAAATTTCAGTAATACTAAATATTGAGAGTAGCGATAATGGGCTCTAGACGTCAGCAATGCAGCAGCCCTGCAGGACAGTCTTTGGGCGCAGAGCGGGCTGGGGGAGCCTTCACCTGTCACATTTGTATCTCCCTGGAGAATAAGGATGATGAGCATCTTTTCACGTGCTTGGCTATTTGTAAATCTTCTTTAGAGAAATGTCTACTGAAATCCTTCGTCCATTTTTTAATTGGATTATTTTTCTTCTTGTTGAAGTTTAAGAATTCTTTTACTCTAGATACTAGGTTCTTATCAGATATATGATTTGCAAACAATTTCTATGCATTGTCTTTTCATTGTTTCGATAGGGCCGACACACTAAAGTTTTAAAACTTGATGAAGCCTAAATGACCTATTTTTTCTTTTGTTGCACGAGTCTTCGGTGTCACACCCAAGAACCCCGCCTGATCCCAGGTCACGTAGATTTACCCTCAGATCTTCTTCCAGGGTTACGGTTTTAGCCCCTCAGCTTTAGGTCTCTGACGCAAGGAGTTATCTGCCATCTGTAGCGGGAGGTAGAGTCCCACACCATTCTTTTGCATGTAGATGTCCAGTGGTTCCAGTACCATTGTTGAAAAGACCGTTTTTCCCCATTAAATGGTCTTAGCACCACTGTCAAAAATCAACTGACCAGGGCTTCCCTGGTGGCGCAGTGGTTGAGGGTCTGCCTGCCGATGCAGGGGACACGGGTTCGTGCCCTGGTCTGGGAGGATTCCACATGCCGCGGAGCGGCTGGGCCCGTGAGCCATGGCCGCTGAGCCTGTGCGTCCAGAGCCTGTGCTCTGCAATGGGAGAGGCCA